CTCTTGTTGCAGGCAGAATAAAAAAGGGTTGAGATCCTGGAAAAAACATATTCTCTCGTCTTTAAAACGGAGACCACTTTTCTGAGGCGACAGTACATTCGTCATAATTTGGGTGTTTAACTTCATAGCCATCTATGCAGAACAGCTGAGCCTGTGGTGCAGTCAAACCCATTTGGAATAGTACTGTGAGCGTGGGTAGTGCTAAAAGTACTAAAAATAGTTTTGAAAGCATCTCCAGTTGGACATCCGACAGCGGTGAGCACCTTTACTCAGGCGGGCTCTGAGCCGCCAGGAGACCAGCCCTTTCCCGAGCCTCGCAGCACAGCAGAAGTTTTGTGGCTACAGCTGGTCAAAATTGTTCAGGGGAGCTGCTGGCGGGCTGAAAAATGCAGAATCTGGGTATAAATTGCTCCCTACTGGTTTGCGAGTGCATCAGGTCCGAAGTTCTCTGTTGAGCGGGGTCTCGCCGATGGAAGTGGGAAGCAGCGCGAGGTGCTGGACGTGAGGCATCCCGGCTGGGCTGGGCAGGGTGGCTTTGGGTCCCCGGGCCGTAGCAGTCTCTCCTTTGGGATGAAGCTGCAGGTGACACGGCGTCATGCCTTTTGCTGCTAGTGAGCCCCGTCTCTAGAAACTCATGAACCTCAACTCTTCCCCCCTGATCCCTCTCCAAACACGGCTCTGGGAGCAGATGGCAGAGCAGCACTGGCTTAGTCCCCAGCTCGCGTCCTTTTCTTTGTTTTTCTCAGCGATGGTTAACTTTGTAAGACACTGAAGTCTTTAACCATTAGAAGGCAATGAGAAGGGGCAGCTGAGTGGGATAACACCCACTAATCCCCTTGCAGGATGAGCTGGAGAGAAGAGCCACTGCGAAGCTCAGGAGCTTATTCCGAGATGAGTGCTTTGGAGGCTTTGAGAATTGCATGGTGTTGGTATTTCATGAATAAATAACCCCCAGCGATATTTGTCACTGAATCTGCTTCATTAATGAGGGCCGGGAACAAAGGGGGAGGATGGAGAAAAGGATTTTCGAGGGAATCGAGGCGGGTGCGAAGGATGGGGGGTGGCGCAGGGCTGGGTGAGGATGGGTGCCGTGGTCTGCACCGCAGGAGCGGTGCTCGGTCTTGGGGACAGCCCTGCTGCTGTGCATCACACTGACCGTTTGTGGCAAGAGAAGTTGTTAGAAAAGGGGTTTCTACTGAGGCTGCGCATCATCAGCGGGTCCTGGTAGAGAGGGAAGCGCGTTTCAGTTATAAGCGTATCATTTGGGCGTCTGCGTGTGCCTTTGGGAGGGCTGGAGAGTTAGAGGAAGAGCCTGTGCATGTGTTCATAGACACACGTGAGCTTCTGGAGAGAATCTGGCAGCAGAAATTAGGTCACTTGCTCCAAAATGCCCTTTTTCATGGGACCTAGCGTCTGCTTCGGGGCAGTGGGGCATTGCCCTGTCCCCTCAGTGCTCCAGGCACTGAGCCCTGTCTGGTCCATGTGGCTTCGGCGCCGGGGTCCAACCAGTCCCCCTGGCCGCTTCCCCGGCTCTCTGCTGTGCTTCGGGCACGGCATGAACCGCAGAGCCCGTCTTCTCCATCCTGCCGTGTCAGAACGGACCCGGGGGTCACTCAGTGAAATTCAATACGGATAGATGGAGAGCAAGGGAAAAGAGCTGTTCTTTTGCAGGCAGCTCGTTACTGCAGGGAAAGTGATTCATCCATCAGGGCTGGTCTAATCTGCCGCGTCCGGGCAGTGGGGAGGGATGGCCATCCCCGGCCGGCACCGTGCGGCGGTGGCCAGCCCCCGCCATCGCTCCTCAAGTGTCCCCTGCCTTGGCACTGCCCGCTCTCCGGGGGCTGCGGGCAGGGAGGGACGGGCAGGGTCACCGCCGGCGCTGCGTGGGTGGAAAATCATCTGCTCCGTGTCACGTGTTGCCTGTCCCATTGCCGCTGTGGGAGGCGGGTAATTAATTATTGCTCTTCACCCCTTAAAATTAAAAGGCGATGCTGAGGCTGGCAGTGCCAAAGTGCACCGAGCCCCTCCGGAGGCAGAGGAGAGCGGTTTGCTCCCGGCTGGCTCCGAGCATCGCGCCAGCCCTCTCATCTGCTGACATCCCCCTCGTCAGGGCGCCGCGCTGGAGTGATGCTCCTCTAATCTAACGACGGCCGAGGCAGCAGCGATCCGGCCGAGCGGCCTCCCTCCGTCTGCAGGCAGCAGCGTCACCCCGCTCCTCTGGCAGGTGACATTTGAACACTTCTCTCCGGCTCCGCTTCCCCACCTTCCAGCGAGGTTAATATTTTAATACGCTTAATGGCTCATTCCAGCTCGGCAGCCCCTGCCTGTGTTTTGTCGGGGGTCATCCATTATGCCAGGCACAATTTCAGAGAGCGAGGTTCCCGGTCCCATCCTCCACCCTCCCCAGGGCAGAAGGTCGGGTTGTGCTTCCAGGTTTTAATTAAAAACGTGACGAGCTGCCGCTGCTGGCCCCAGCCCGGGAGCACGGTGCTGTGCGGGATATGCTGACATCTCCCACCGGCACTCCGGCTCTCCAGAGTTACCCCGGCTGAGGATCCGCAGCTGTAGCTCCTCACCTTCACCCTCCAGGGACGTGGGAGCTGCAGGAGGGTCTGGTTGGTTGATGACCAAAGGGAAAAGCCAGGAGGGAGGACGGGGACATGGTTCTTGCTGTCCACCTACGATGAGAAACCCCTCGGGAGGACCAGATGGGGCTGAGCTATCCGGGTGGGCGGTGGAGGAGTTGTCATGGTTGGTTGTTTTTTTAATTTAAATAATTCTCTCTACGTTAATAAACAGCATTTTGGGTTAGTAAATAATATGCCCTTTCTCTCCCCCCGTCTCTCCAGCAGAAATACGTGCCCTGATCTAATATATTCTGCCTTTCTCACTCCCTCACTTCGGAGGAGCTGCAAATTCTGGTGGGAACAAAGTGCTAATAGAAAAGGGCCTCTTAAAGTTATTTGAAACATGACCAAGAAAGGACAGAGGGAGATTCAGCTCCAAATATGCTGGAAAAATCTAGGAGATGGGCCAAGAGAGGGGGAATATCGGAAGCATAATCGCCAAGAGGGAAAAGTTAATTGGGAAGCATTAATTGGGGTGAAAGTGGGCAGCGCAGACATGAATTTGCTACACGGGGCATGGAGGCACCGCGGTGGGCACAGAGCTACCCCTGTACTGGGGTAACTGGTCCGCCCCAACCCGCGGTAGCGGAGGAGCTGCCCTCCACCTTCGTCTGAGTGGGGATGGGCCATTTTACCAGTTCTTGCTGGGTTTATCATGATTTTCTTGTTGAAAGTCCCAGTTTCTGGAAGCCTGTGATTGCCTGGAAATCTGGAATCTGCAAAATCGTGACTTCAGTACTGCGGAGGGCTTTATTTCTTTGGATTTGGTCTCCGGGTAGTTTCTAGCCCTCAAGTTTGCAGGGAAAAGCTCGCTTACACCCTAAAGGCTCAGAAAGCAGGAGGCAAACTTACGGGGAGGAAAAAAAAAAAACCCACCCAGTGACTGATTTATTTTTAAAATCTCATCATTTTTATGCCAATCGCATTATATATATATTCTTTAATGCCTGACTCATGATTTTTCCGAGCGTTTGGTGTTGGCAGGGCTGTGTGCGTGAGTGTGACGGCGCGGGTGCGCGCAGGGGCCCTCCCTCCCCCCGACAGATAACGCTGTGCTGGTTCGAGACAGCAGTGCTGTGGTCTTCAAGGGCCGTTGAATGTTCCTCCGCCACTTTTTTCATTGCCAAGCACGCCATTTTCAAACTAACACC